AGTTAACGCAGCAAACTCAATTGATAATTTTACAAAATCTCGTAGTCTTTTCCGAATTAATTATCAACGTTTTGATTAATGCTGAATCCATTGCTGATTCTTACTGTTATAATTATTAGAAAAATCAGCAATTGAGACGTTTTTTGCTCCTGCATTATTTTTTTTACGCTTTCAGAACTATGAGAGTCAGACTTCTGCACTAGCTGTACATGGCAATTTTGCTTCGTGTATAGTAATATCTTCAATCTCTTTTCTCCTCCTTGTTTCTGAACTCGTGCATGCAAATTTCGTAACGAATTCACCGAGTGCTTTAAGTTACCAACGTACCGATCTCGTCACGCACATGTCATCTCAAGTATGTTAAAAACAGGCTACGACACCATCAAAGACGTAAACAAGAAACGCTTCGCATTAAATCGTTTCGAAACTCGACCATTCTATTAATACAGCAAACACAATGACAATATTACTAAAAATTCGCAGTCTTTTCCTGGTTAATTATCACTGTTATAATAATAGTAAAAAGAGTCATATGACTGATTATATCTAAAATCTTGGATTTACACGCGTAAAAATCATCATTTTACATATCTACTATTTATGCACTTCTCAGTTTTTCAGTAATAAGATATATACTGTAGTGACTTTGCTTTTTACAAACTTTATAAGCTTCAAAATATGAATTGGGATCCAGTTTCACTGCTTTCCTTTTGATATAATCCCTATGGTACAATATATTAGTGCTAGCCTTTCTTTTCTAATATACATAGCGTGTATAGGTCAGCAACGTGAAGGAATACATTCAACCCACAGTCTTTTCCTGGTTAATTATCACTGTTATAATAATAGTAAAAAGAGTCATATGACTGATTATATCTAAAATCTTGGATTTACACGCGTAAAAATCATCATGTTGATGCAAGTTGTTAAAAACAGGAGTGAACAATGTTGTGCTACACCCCGTGAACAGTATTGTTAACGATGTTCAGTCGATGCTTGTTGAATCATCAATGTTGTTGCAACTTGTTACAACATCATTGCATTAATATTGATGATCCAACAAGCTTCAACAACATTGTTAACAATACTTTTCCCAGGATGCAGCACAACATTGTTCACTCCTGATGTGACAACCTGATCAATTTTTGGCCGTTTACATGATGTTAACGTTTTTTTTGGATCATGCATGCTTAACACTATAGTGACGGTTTCTATTCGTAGATTTGAATAATAAAAATAAATATAACTATAAAATATTGTTTAGATATTCAGGTAACAGGTAACTTCGTTTCAAAATTAATTGTACAGCATAAATATGTTTTGATTAATGCTGAATCCAGTGCTGATTCTTACTGTTGTAATTGTTAGTAGAATCATGCACTTGAGACGCTTTTTGTTTGTTCATTATTTTTACGCTTTCAGAAATATGAAGGTCAGACATTGATATTGTACTGGCATATTTGCTTCGTGCATGATAATATCTTTAACCTCTTTTAACCTTGTTTATTTATAATTCTGAACTCGCGTGCATGCAAATTTCGTAACAAACTCGCCGAGTGCTTTAATTACCAACGTAGGGCTCTTGTCACGCACATGTCATCTCAAGTATGTTAAAAACAAGCCACAACACCATCATAGACGTGCGCTTCAACAGTTCCATGCATTTTTTATGGTCTGGTACGTTGGATATATAAATGTGTTAAAACAGATCAGAAAGATCACTGGATCGAAGGTATTACTCCTGGAATACACACATAAGGTAGGCACATTGTTTTATAGCTTGAGGTGATTAGATATAACAGCTAGAATGGGCAGTGCATATATTTCCATTCACAGTGCATCCATGCAAACCTCAATAGACTTATATATTAAATAGAATAATGCTGGATCATTCCCTCTAACTAGCGGTATGTAGTATTTCAAGGCGACCTATACAGTATTTTCGCTAAATATAGTAGATCTTTAATTCCAATTTATTTCAATATACATGCATAGTTTAACCAAAATTTATATATAATTATATGTTATATATATTATAGCCATAATTATAGACATTATATAGTTATATTTTGCAAATTATAGAGCAATATATATAGAGCACCGAATTATTTTGCAAAAACAAAATACTGTATACTTTATAGATATTATTCTAATATGAATCATGCACCCCCACTTCCCTTGTGGTGACTCTTGGATAGCATTTATATCCTCCACTACTGCTTCTAGCAGTTTCATTTAGCAATTTCACCTAATCGTGATCCTGCTTTGCTTTAACTTCTGGACTATATCAGTCAAACAATTTGATTAAAATCTACTGAATAACACATTTAGAAACATATTGAATGGGATTAACATTATTTATTGGCATGGACTCGGCCATAATTATACTGTAACGTCAATGCAATGTCACAAAATTATTGATTAATATGCACTAATTACTGTATAGCTATACGCCATCGTTGTCGATAATTTTAACCGATCGTTTTTTTGCTGATTGATATTCCTTGTTTTGCTACTTAGCAAATTGATAATAGCTATATCTCCAACTGTCGTTACTATTTATGCACTTCTCAGTTTTTCAGTAATAAGATATATACTGTAGTGACTTTGCTTTTTACAAACTTTATAAGCTTCAAAATATGAATTGGGGATCCAGTTTCACTGCTTTCCTTTTGATATAATCCCTATGGTACAATATATTAGTGCTAGCCTTTCTTTCCTAATATACATAGCGTGTATAGGTCAGCAACGTGAAGGAATACATTCAATCCACTTTTGGTTTCCTAATTTCAAGGGAAATTGCCAATCATTCTTTCGTATTAAGTCTTTTCCATTTTATAAAAGGGACGGTCTTTAGAATATCTATCCTAATCGATCTATTATTTCGTCTATTTTTTACAAATCAGCACCGGTACAATCGTGCTGCCGTGGGTGGAATATTAGGATATCAAGGTGCGGAATACTATATGAAAAATTAGGCTGTTTTGATTTTTGAAAAATATGTTTTAAATTAATCTCTCAACTTGAACACATGGACAGAATCATCATCATCTTGAAAATGAATTTGTAAAAAGGAAAAATTTTTGGTTGTTACAATTGAGTGAACAAAATCCAATCGCTGGTCACGTAGTGATATCGTATCTGTTCTGAAATAATTTCATAAAACACGCTTTCTGTCTTTTTAGCTTTTACTTGTAAGCAACATACTCTTGTGATGCGGGCTCTCATTATTGAAACAGTTACTTTAATGCAATTACTTCAGCTAAGCACAGTTCTTAGCTGTTGTGACATTGCCAACTGGTGGGATAGTTTTAACCTCGCTGGGTTATCTGAATGCCTCAGAGACCGTACCTACATCAAGGGATTATGGAGAAATGAACAACGAGACACTCAAAATCTCTTTCTTATTGAAGAAGCGAAATGCTGCGATGCAGTAATACAAGATTACACATGGAAATCATCTTCGTGCCAAAATGCTAACTGGCGATACACATTGGACAGGTAATGAACTTTATTAATTGCAATGTTTGCCGAAACGTCACCAGGTTTAGTCCCTCAGACCAACTGCGCTAAAAAACTGAAATTGATGCATCCGTTCGAAAATGTCATAGAAAGTGAGTGTGCTTTTAAAAATCATGACGTTCTACGCGATTTTGAAATCGTGGCGCGTGTGTTTAATTTTAGGCTGAATTCATTCTTCAAATGGTCTCTTGATTCTAAAGAAAGTGCTTTTCATGTTGTTATAATTTTTCAAAGCCATCTAGGAAAATTGAAATTACCCCAAAAACGTCATCGTGTGAAAAGATAATTGTTGATACTGTGTTACTTCATATTAGGCACCTTCTACAGTTTGATTCGTTATCGAAAAAGTTATACGCACGTGAAATATTCGCGACTATACGTACAAAACTAAGGAAACTCCTTTTTGTGGGAAAATAGTGAAATCGTTTTAAAAGTAGCATTACTCACCCGAATGCCTTTGTCGCCTGCAAGGAAGTGCATGCCTGAACAACCGCCACGCAGTTTTATTATAAATATTTTTACTTATTAATTATAATAGTGATTTCTGTCAATTCTTCCAGCATCAATGTATGGGCAAAATGTCCACGTGGCTACTTTCTGAGAGGCTTCAGAATAAGTATGGCAGTTGGTTTAAGCCATATAGAAGAAGCAAAATGCTGCCATCCACAGACTCACCCAAACGAATACGGGGATTGCTACGAGGAAGACGTTTCAATTTCGTTCGACAATAAAGGTTGGAGTGAATGCAAACGGCAAGGCTACTACATGGCTGGATTCTACAAAGGGACTTGCGATGGCATTAACTGCATCGAAAAGTTCTACTGTTGTCAGATGAAACATTGTAAGTAATTTAATATAGCACATAATTATTTATATTCAAGGCACCCTTTCCGTATTATGTTTAACATGAGTTAGCCGAGATGGGATTGAGCAGAGGGAGTAATAGTTATTCTGTGTAAGAAACAGTACAAAATGTACGGCTTGAATTTTAATAAGGAATATTCAAATGTACATAGGTACCAAAGTAGATAATGCTATATCAAATTTATAGGACTATATCAAAGGGTGTGGCATATACCTTCTATATCGCATATCGTCTTATTGTATTTAAAAACTATAATAATTTATTAATAAACAATCAATATTTAATTTTCCTTCAGATGGTAATACAATTATTGGGAAGAGAAGTGCAAGTAATGGATTCAGGAAAATTTTCAACCTTTAAATTTATTGTGTATTAAGATTCCAAAGTCCTAGAACTAGAAAAAGGGGTTATCGTAAATTTTTCCATGTAATTGTGATATAAATAAATATAGAAAAGTGTTAGAAAAATGGATAGGTTGTGTCATTTTGTGTTGAAAATATGGTAAAGCTAATTCTATTTGTGTCAAAATTATGAAAAAATTAGGTCGTTAACGGCTATAGGTGAAAAAAAATCAATGAAAAACTTGCCGGTGATTCTTTCAGTTTTAAATCCAAAGTTGCATAATATTCTTCAATTCAAACGCTTAATATTGAGATCAAGTAATTAATATTTATTTCTTGCTATTTTTCTTAACAAAGGCGCGAAAGGCTTTGTGAAATCTAAAAATCTGACATATATACGTCTGACATAATATAGTCCCCAATAGTTATACATAATTATTATCGTTAACATTAACTTTAGCCAGAATACATAAATCTTTCGTAGTAAATAGTGGTTTGAACATTTATAACGTGCAGTACATTTATCAAGACTTTGCGGGTTTTGTATTTAATTTGCATAATTGCAAACTAAATGGAGTAATTTACGAATTATTGTACATATTTTCGACTATACTTCCAACCATACTTTTTTGCGAATATTTCTGTCTTGTCTCTAATATACAAAGTTATGAATAATCAAACTAAATTATTAAAAAAGTATTATGTTCTTATTATTTACTTATTGCATTTTTATACGCAAAAGTTTGCGTATTCATCAAAAGAATCCAAGTACGCCATTATGGCTGTGTAACAAAACTGATATTGCTCCTATACAAAGAAAAATATATGAAGAATGATTGACTGCATTAACATAAAAATGTCCAGTATTGAGCACAGTTTATTTACAGCAACGTTACTCAACAGCAATTCATAGCACTTTGCAATTCATAGGACATAGTTCAAAAATAAAACAAATTGTTGAATTTATCCAGGATCGATTATTTCTCAATGGATGACTTGCGCTTCAGAGTTCAGGCTAATTTTTGATAGAAGTAACAAGAAGAAAATAAATCACAACAGCTAGAAAGAGCATACTTAAATTGGCGCAAATGTCGGCGAACTTTGGCCGCGAAATTTTGTTAAATGCGAGGCAAAGCAAGGTTATACGTGCAAAAATGTGTAACAAATGGACGACTTGCGCTTTAGGCTAATTTCTTACCCAGGCAATAAAAAAGACACTTTCTAAAAGAGCGTATAAAAATTGCCATTAGTAAAACTGCCAAGTTTGGTTGCGAATTTTTTTAAATTACGGAAAATATAGCCATGCGAATTTGACAGATTTTGTACACATTTGTATTTCGGCAGGAACTGTAACTAATTTACACATTTCCCACAAATTTGCCAACTTCGCATTTCTATATTTTCCGCATTTTAAAGAATTTGCGGCCAAACTTTGCATTTGCACTAATTTAAGTACGCTCTTTCTAGCTCTTGTGGTCTATTTCGTTGTTGTTATTCCTATAAAAAAAAAGTCTAAAGCGCAAGTCGTCCATTTAGTTAAGCACTTAATCCGGATACAAAAGAAGTAAAAGAAATTGTCAGTTTCGCATGCCTATATTTTCCGAAATTTACAACTTTTCATAGCCAAGCTGATATATAGCTAAGAAATAAGTCTAAAGCGTAAATCGTCCATTATCTGCTGCGGTTTTGACATTTTTGCACTAAACCCCACGCTTTATACTTTCAAATGATGCAGCCATCTAGACAAAGCGAATAATCCCAAAATCTACTCACAGAATTTTCGACAAATTGGGCTCGTGCTCCTCTGATAATTTTTATGGTCTGGAAGACATCCATTGCTTGTTTTATTTTTATTCGTTCCAGGAGGTTTGAAATTGCAATGTACGTCCCTGTCCGGCCTGCCCCATCACTGAAATTAAATTATTCAATACATATGCTGACACAAATATTGGAGTACCGCATACTATCTACATTTTGTGTGTCACGGACATGAAAATTACAGCCCTCTGCCCCATTTCCGGTACTAACGATAGCCGTAAACGACAAGAAATGCGACTCATCCACAGTCTTGGCACTCTCCATCCCTCTGACATAAATGAAAGACTCTCTTTCATTTAAGCTACTTCACCCATACTAATATAACTACCATTTCTTTGTTTACATCAAAGCTGGTTGTAATATGTTTTCGTTGCTGATGAGACTTCCCTCATGCATTTGCGGGCTATTCCTAGCCCACATGCAATCAGGTGCCTTTTTGGCAATGTAATGTATGCCACTTTGTTTTGATTTTTTGTTTTCTATTTGCCCATTTTTATCACGTGTTTTGCCCCCATACAAAACATGTATTCTCGCCTATTTATTTTCATACTAACTCTCCTGACGAAGGCCCTCAGGTCGAAACGTCGAGAAGTGTTTTGTCTACTTAGACAGTGGTTATACCACATGTGATGCTAAGTTGTTTGACGCTGCCACGCTGCCCGCCGTCATTGGTTATATTGATACTATCTGCATTGCCTTTTATTCATCGATATTCAATTTGATCAGACTAAGAGTTATTTGAAGAGTTATTTTGGGTAATAAGGAATAGTCGCATATGATATAGTAAAGTTGAATTACTTTGGCAAGCTTTAAAATTTTCAGCCTATTTTAGGTTGAGGTTGAACGCACGCTCATCGGGCTTCGACCAATCAGAACACATGTTAATGTTAATTTATGAAACAATTTATAACAAATTAAAGCAGTATGTAACGTTTTAGCTATGCACCTGCATGCCACGATTATTGGCCCCTTATGATTCTTCCTGGAATTTTCGGCCAGTGAATTTAGTGTGATGACGGCATTCCCTTTAGGAGGTACGCTGTGGTCCGGCCATTTCGCGTATTGGAAAATAGTTACAATACGTGGTTCTGACATATCCTATATAAATTCAAAGAGCATAATTAAATAAAATATCCATGTTTCATGGTAATGATATTTTTATATTCACCAGTACACATAATGGGATCGATTAATGATAAATCTGTTCTATATTTACATGTCTTCAAACATATTCTTATACACTTACTGAATAAGTTGATAGGGAAAAGGTTCTAGTCCATATTTCATCCGATTGTTCTTCAGAGTTCAACTGAACTGTCATCGTGCCGTACTGTGCAGGTTCACCTGGGTTTGTTGGCCAGAATTTTGGGAACGACTGAAACATGAACGTTTTAATCAGAACTTTCATGCAGTTTTTTTATAAGGAATTGTCGTCATGTTCAAATGTATAATTGTAACTTTATTGACACAACATTTCGCAGAACAAAACTATCCGATCAAATATACAGTACAATGCAACTTTGCTAGAGACCGCTGCTGATTTGAAAAAAGGTTAGAATTTCTATGCTATAATTTTTACCGTTCCGTCTTTGACGTTGTTTAACAACACAATCGTGGATGACTTTTGATAATAAACCAATCGCCAGAAGTCGTTCATCGTATTCGGAAGTGGACTTTGGGTTGCGATGAAATAATTTCGCCCGAGGTAACCCTGGAGAGATATGGGGGGCTTAGTTTACAAATATTCACTATACGAGAACGACGTGGTTCATGAATCAACGAATGCACGTGGCTGATTTATCGACAGTTTTAATATTAAAGAGTTAGAGTAATTAATCCTTTGTTTGCCGTTGTACTTGGCAAAGGAAAAATAAGCAAAATCAGCAATACTATAGTTGTTGGACAATGTGCACAATATTTGCGTACTTCCGAATATTAAATGAGCTGAATAATTGATTCAATCTGCTCTGATTTCATTAATCCATTACTGAAATTAATCCATTTTTACTGATTTTTTTTTAATGATATCTCCGGGATTTATATTACAACTTAACTGTTTCTAAACTAGAGCCACCTTAAATGGATTGAATATCTCGTTCTCTTCCCTCGGGGAATGTTCTCGCATGAAAACTTTTTTTATTATGAACAATCAATGTGTAGACTTAAGACATCGCGCCTCGGCTCCATGTTAAAAAGTGTTTCCGAATAAAATTGTATTATATTGGTCGAAATTAAGAATATAATTGACGCACATAGCTCAACAGAGTAAAACTAGAAATTCATTTCGTTTAAAAAGGTGTGACGAGCACTAATTATTAGAAAGGACTATAATTTTGTAAAACGGTCCAAAAAGTTTTTGATGCTCTTACATGAACAAACACAGCGTTGATGTAGTCTGAATATTCCAATCCATCCACGTACGGTAGAGGTACACGATTGCTTTCGCCTGAAAAACACAAAATGTTTATGTTGAATTTGATAGGTCGGTCACAATAGAGTGGTGTAATTTTATCTAATTTACAAAGAAATTTAAGCTCGAATCAGACAGTCATTTGAAATTTCACTTCAAGACCTCTTCATCTGTGTGAAATATGAGCATTTCGAAAGCCTGTTCAAATACTTTTGGAAATACTAGATATTACGTATACCAGGAAAAATATTCTTGTCGCGATTCTTTTTGAGATTCTCTTCAAGCATTGCTGCATTGTGTTCCTCTGAAGAGAATTTTGGCGAAACCTCACCCAACATCTGAAACAGAAATAAAAAGTTGAACAATAGAGTTCTCAAGCGCGTAATGCGTGACGGTAGTTGTTCATCAAGGTCAATTTGAATTGTGATTTCGCGATGTTCGGGATCGATTTAGTTTAACAAAGAAGCAAAAAGAGTCGGCAAGGTTTTCAGGCATTGCGCGCTTGAAAACTATTAAGCGAAAAGGGAAAGATCCACAGATTCTGGGACAAATTCCATGCATCGTATCTTCGATTGTATTGCATGCAACAAAATCTTGTTGAAAAATGCAGCAGGAACTCATTATATATCACCATCATGATTTCCGACAAATAAATTCTCCGTACAAATAATTTCTAATCCGTAACTACTAGCTGGTACAGTAAATATAATTTTATATTATAATATTATTATTTCAACGAATAACAAACCTTGAACTTCTCCTGAAAACCAGTAAATCCACTGGCTTTAACTTTGGCAAGAATTCCATTCTCTTTCTTGATTTTGATGGTATCAACCTCGTTCATTCCACAAAGAATATTTTCCAAAATGGCTTCGTGGATGAATATGTATTGTTGCTAAGATAGAAAGCACTAGATGGAAAGCTATTTCGTTTAAGACTATACTTGGTCGAAATAATGTCTTTGAAAGTGTATCATGTAAAGAGGACAATCTACTCCAATAACCAATTGTCTCGCCATTAATATTATTTAGTAAAGTTAATAAAAGATTAACATCAATATGAGAGCAATATTCTATACCCGTACCAAAGTTTGTACCATGTTCATCCTCCTTTCCCTCATTGCACATACTTGTCCAAAAATATCAATGGAATCGATAACACCTTTCTCCAGTTTATCAAGGATAGTATCAATTGCAAGAAAAACACCTGTTCGACCAACACCAGCACTGAAATAAATTTAAAAAAACAAATAGAGCGACGGTGACCAAAGGGCAATGTTTGCCTAGCTACCACTTATAATAATTGTCTTCGAATGAATTCACTTTGACTTTGACTTCGACTTATTCGGATTTCAGATCATCAAAATAATGCGAAAAAATACTTAATTTTAGCCGCCGTGTGAACAGTAATGATTATATAGATACACGTATCCTGTCCCAAACCAATTATTCTTTTCGAAAATTGGCATAAATTGCAGTCTTTTTTTTGAAAATCGTCTGACCTGCAATGAACGATGATGGGCCCAGACTGTTCCAGATGATAAGATCTGAAATGTGTTCTAAAAGCCAGGAGTTGAGTCGGATATTTGGGTACACCATGGTCAGGCCATGATAGAAAATAGTAGTGACGCACGTCGCGTTTTTCCCCATCCTACATGAAGTTAATATCTTAATTACGAGTTGAAGTTCTATTGACGTAGATGATAGCAAGAAAAAATTAACACTAATATAAATATGCTGAGTTGTAAATATTTTCAAGGAAATCCAACTTTTCTCCCTCACCTTTTTAATTTCCAAGGTATGCGTGACGTGATCAGCGAACTCTTCTGTCTTCGTTAAAGTCACTTCAATGTCTCCATACATTTCACTTCCTTTGTCAGGCCAATATTTGTCACATTTAGGCTAAAATGTAGGTTTGTATGCCATAATTATTCCACACAAACAATTCCACAACTTGTGATTCAGGACCCATTTTTAAGTCTTTTTAATGCATTTAGTAGCGAAAGATGAATGGATGAAAGATGAACTAGCTGGACAATATCCAAATATTAATTTGATATTTTTCTATTTATTCTTTAAGTCCTTTGGATACATTTAATTTTTTCGCGCAAACTCTTCTAATTTACTTGTAATTTCGCTTGTAATTGACAATAAAACACTTCACTTTAAATAGCTAGACTTTGGCTAGTTATTTGCGTGAGGAAAATCTGGTATCCTCCAGTAATTAGTTATTACTTGTTCATTTAGCTTTCATTTTCTATTTTTTCTGAAAAAATATTTTATCCAAAGAGAATTGCGGGCAAGAACCAAAACAAGCGAAAACTAGCTGAGACCTTACAAGAGAAAAAAGAGAACACTGAATAAAAAGAAACATGGCGCACAATTGTGTTGGAGTTTTAAAAAATGAAGTGATTGATAAAGGAATATATTTGCTTAGTTTCTCCAAATAAATTTGCTTGGTTTAAAATGCTGAGAGCATCTGAGTAATTGATTATAGTTGAGCATGGTGATTAAGTAGATAGACAGTATGGTTTATGGTTATCAGTACCGTAGCCAGCCTGTCGATTTGTCCCGCTATGCTAATATTTTGGTGTTCACTAACTGTGAAAACAATAGATATCTAAAGACATGAATAATTACAATAACTCGAAATCTACACAGTGGGACAAAATGGTCAGGGTGGCTACGCCACTGATAGTTATGGAAATAACGTCGTTACCCCTAGCCTGCAACGCAGACTATATATTAGGGTATATATAGTCTGCTAATCAGCGGCACAAAGCTTGTATGGCCAGGTGAATGTTCGAATTATTTCCGGTATTATAATTATGATTATGCATATGATTATGTATATGATTTGCACGCAAATTGCATAATTATTTGTGACAACATGGCCGCGCTGATGTGCGTGCTGTGTTTCTCTGTGCTGGAAAAGAAGTCAGATATAAATCTTGTAAAAAGAAAGCGTTCTCTCGACATTGCGGCCGACATATTTCGATGACAATGCTGGTTCCAACGACTTGTTCTTCGAGAAGATCAGCGAGGAGAGGAACCGCTCGGAAGACTAGAGACTTCCCGTAGCCTGTGCCAGCACTAAAGAAGATATTCTTACCGAGTAAAAAGGCTTTGAGTGCCTCGACTTGCTCTCGATGAAGACTTTCCACTTAAAAAAAACAGCATACAATCCGAATAGCTTCCGAAAAGTGCTCTTCTTCAAGCAAAGATGGTTCGATGAAGGACGCCATGTTGTTTGTGAAAATAATAAATATTCTGAAATTTTGATTATTTTGCATAATTATAAGCTAACCAATCAAAATGAGTCCCACAATTTCTCGGGAAACCCACGTGACCATACAAGCTTTGTGCCGCTGATTAGCAGACTATATATACCCCAATATATAGTCTGCGTTGCAGGCTACGTTAGCCCTGACATTCTGATCTTAGGATTATGATGCTAATGATTTCGAAATACACTGGCAACTATTCCCATTTATTGGGTCCAGCCGAGGAGACATTTACCTTTCCACGCTCAAAAAGAGAGGTTACCATAACAACCGAATAGCTATTCTGCTCCCAAACCATTCGCCACATATCATTCACAGTAGCTTCGTTAGGACCTAATAGGATAAGGCAAAATGTATTTAAAAAATGAAATGACCGTGGTGAAGACTGAAGAAAGAGGAATATATAGTGAGATTAGTTTTTTTTACTCTATTTGAATTAATAAAGTGTTTACTACGTTGGTTTTCTCCTGTAACAAAATAGTTTTTTGTAGATGATCATCATAATGGATATACAGTAACTGAAATTTCACTTTTAAATCAAAATTAATATTACCGTAGAAAAAACACACCAAATCATTAACAGAATCCAACATATGGATCTATTCAATAGTATATTTCATAAGTATCATTTAATTTATTTTAAACTTTTACGTGCGTAGTATATACGTACGTAAAAAAATGCAACAGTGGAAAACGGCCCTTATACTCTAGCTTTGTTTGCAGTATTGCAAGAGAAGTGGCATTTTGTCATGACTTTTGTAGATATTCATAAACCTATTTTCTATTTTTAACAAAACAAATTTTTCATCACATGTCCGTCAAACAAATGACGTAACTATTACCATAGAGAACCCTGAAATTGGCAAGTAATTGAAATAATGAAAAATAGTAATGTGGCATATTCACTCTGTTTAGAGTCACCGTATATAACTACTTCACCATTTTACTCACCCTGGCATGCAATGTACGACCTCTTGTCGAAACCCTGAGTGAATGAAAAATCAGTTAAAATGAATAAATTGGCAATGTGGGCTTGCAAAACATTTTTCGTTCTATGGACGGACGTTTTACGTCATAGTTAAAAATTACAGATAGACCAAAACTTACATCAATGTGGCTAGCGTTAATGTAATCACTATTTTCATCTCCTGATAGAATTACGCGAGAATTGTCATCTAAATTATAAATTCAAGTGCCAAGCTAGGGTAATGGTACATTACACCACAAGTGTGGCAACGCAATTCATAGTACTACAATGTGCAATATTAGCAAGCCCAACGGCTGCTGGGCCCTAGTCCCATCCAGCTTCGGGACAAATTACAGAGGAAATTATGTTAGAAAATTTAAATGCAGTACATGTAACGACATTTCCATATCTGTTTTTCGGCTTGTTAAACGGCTTCTTAGATACTTCCCAGGATATGTTCAAGTTTGTCGGCAAAGCCTAAACAAATAGAATATGAAAATTGAGACAAATGATTTTAAAAACGAACGCAGGCTCAGCGGGAATGACGTAACATCATTGTATCAAAGGATCATCGTTTGAGAAGATTTTGATTTTGAGCTACCGGTTATAATTTGTGATGTCTTAATAGTTTGGTTTCTTTGGGCAGCAGCTAGGTGAGCATAAGTGATATTTATTGTTCAGACTGATGGTAAAGTGACCTCTGTACGAGTCACGGCATTATTATTTCACCTTGATTGTCTTGTACAGGCAATCCTTATGTTCTAAGTCGGATATAGTTCTTTGCGTGCAATAAAATATAATTTATTTGTAGTCACTAGCGACTGATTTACAGTGGCTACTTAAGAAGTCTTCTATACATTGCCTTTGCCTTCGGTGTGAGCATCTGTTCTAAATTAATATGACTCATAGCCTGCAGTTAAGCCTGAAGGCAATGTTGACTATAATAAAACGTGTGAGCAATGTGCTGATCAAAGTTATGTGAACCGCGCTATTATTTTGCATGAGGACCTTGAAATAAAACTGAAATAAACGAGAATGTCGCCCAACAGTATAAAGTGGGGTTTGCAGACCCCGAGTCCGTACCGGCTGGCGGCAATTTAGACATCGACAATATAGTAAAGCGGACAAAACAACGGTTGTGGATGTGAATCAAATTAGTCAAATCGTTGATGCGGATGGTAATGAGAGAGAGATATTACAATAATCATGATAAACAATTAGAAGTTAACATGGAGCTCAAAGGTCCCATAATTAATAGAACGATTGTTGTATTGTTGACAAATTACGTTTGACGACAGGGAATTAGGCAAGAGCAAGCTAAAGTGATCACGAGACCTCATGACATCTCTGAGATGCGGTCAAATGCGGTCACTTAGACAATAATATTAATATGGAAAATTTCACAAAAATCCTGGAAGAACGCAAAGCAATGAATATTTTCGTTTTCTTCATTAATTTTAGTCTCGCAATATTTGGAAAAAATCTCTTAGCACATTCTCCTCGCTCAAATGTTACTTCAACTATTGAAATTGTTGATATGGACCGGCAAATTGGGGCAGCTGACTGATGAATTGCACAAGATGAGAACGCTCAAACTGATGGTCCGTCGAGTGCCCGGCAACATTTAGAAAGCCATGACCTTTTTAAGCTTTGTTTATTGCTACCATTTGTGCCACCAAACCTCATCAGCATTCGGGGACTCAAACCCTATCTGGATGGTCAGGAATAAAGGTGTCTTGAAAAGTGCAGGTATCCATGTTTTTTTTAAAACGCATTCTAAGGGCAGTCTTCTGCGACAGCCGCCTTTGCAATAGATATTCTCTAGTCTACTTCTCGACAAAATTCCAAAAAGACCTGGCTAAAATGTTACTAGTGCAGTGAATTTCAGCCTGTTTTATCATATGAGTTAGTAATACAGTGTAATATTTATCATGTGTGTATAATTTAGAATACAAACTAGACTAATCTTGTGTTAAATTTTGACCTAAACGTAAGTATGGTTACATGACGTAACCATAGTAACTAAGACTGACAAATTCATCCTACCGCTCCTTTGGGGTTGTCTTTGTTAGTGTAAGCAGGTTAAGAACATCGATATTACATCACTCGCGCTGAGCATGCATTCGTTCGTCAGTCTTAATTTCAGTCTTGTTACTACTGTTATGTGATACAATTCCAGTAAAATTTCAGCTTGAGGTAAGTCACATTTGACTACTAAGTATACCAATAAACATACTTTTATCCTTAATCCAAAGAATCGTAGCTAATATTGATAACTTATATTTATTTAGCGCGCCTTAATAATTATGCAGCAAGAATACATTTTATTTGCTGGTGGAGGCACGCATGATACAGCTATATGCACCAATTGAACCGAGATGGTTTTGCTAAAAAATTTTTGCTTCACACTCACATCATACTCTTTTTGGAATTCATAATTTTCGTTTGCTTTCAGTTCGTTCACATGATGTGCAAAGTCAGCAATCAGAACGGGAGAATGAGTCTTCTCGTCAATCGCACCTATATAAAATAGAAGTTCCAGTAACTATATTAGTTTATTTACACAGATTAGCAATAGGGTATCAGCTGTAGTGGTACTGAAATTTTTTCTTAATTTCTATCTGGTATATATACACTAGCAACTTCAAATATTCTTAGGCAATCGTAAGCAAAAGCAACAAAGAGGCCTAGAACGACATAACGTTATACCATATTTCTCATAAGATTCGCTATTGTTTTACAGAGGCAAAACGATTGGTTAGGATTTCAAACAGGATGGTAAACATTTGAGTCGCCAGGAATGTAAAAGATTGATCTTCATTTGTGACATGTATACAGTCACGTACGTTGTTCATTAGCTATCATATGTCTATATGATAGGAAACAATCAATGCAGGATAATAATTTTTCAGTTATCAATATAAAAACGTCCATATCCCTTTCTCAGAAGAAATAAAAAAAGAGCATAGGCATTTTGGTAACCTGGCCATACCGCAGACAGAAAAATCATAAAAAGATGTTTAAATTCATAAACTTAGTTTTTACGTTCAATGAAAACGAACAACTGAGCTAGACTCTCGATTGAATATAAATTCAAATTCATCTCTTTGGCTTCAGTGCATGTATATTTAGATCATAGGTAATAGTTATACTCCAATAAATCGGTTGTATTTTATTATCGATGAATCTTTTGCTTTAGAGATAAAAAAAAACGCTAATTGTGTACACTTTCCATTGCCAGTATTTTTCTAAACAACTGACCAGTTTCATTTGAATCAGCTTGTTCATCCATTTCGTTGCATTCCTTTTGGGTATCGCTTTCCGAATTTTCACATTCTTTAAAATTTCTCCTAAGAAAAGGCGAGAAGGAGGTCTAACTTACAAATATAATGTAAAATTTTTACTTTTTTAGAAAATTTGTTAGAATAATTATATTTATGCAGCATTTTTTTAATGTCGGCTACATTTTTTTGAAATTTTAGAATTCTGAAAATTTTAAAAAGCCGTCAAATCCCCCCTCCCCCAAAACCACTGATCATCATCAAACTTTGTCCTCCTACACTATGATAAAACTGTTGGAGTGATATGAATCAAAAGACTTTTTATAGCAGGAAATAAAAACACAAATTGTCATTGCTATACTGCCTTCATTTTCGCCAATTTTTCCTGCAGACATGAAATACTATGTCTATGAATTCCTAAAGAGTCAACACGATTATATAACGTCCCAAAACACGTCTCACTCCGGTTTCTATTTGGTTCTCGCATTCAGAATTTAAAGTTTTCACTTTGTTGGTTTTTATACTCCTGGACAACTTTATTAAACTGAGTAGAAATCTGTAACATCCCCAAACACCGCTTATTTGTTTGCCTAATTTAGGACAATTATTTACATAACTAAATTATAGCTTGTAGGACGCGACGTAAGTATTTTATACAAAATTACAAGAATATTATTAATCTTTAACGTAATTATTATCCATCTTGCAGTATTACCTTCTTTTGAAGAATATATAACTTAATACCAGTACAACAACTACAGCAATCGCGGCAAGCGTTCCGGCCACTGCGACTCCGATACTTGCACTACTACCACTACCACCATCATCAACCCGCTCGTTGACATCACCACTCCCTTTATAACACATTGAATATCAGGCTTTGGGAAGGTTACCGTTAATACTATTATTACTACAATATATAAAATAGTGGGGGCAGTTTGTCGATACAAGGAACAAGACCACTGGAATATTGTATATATCAGCCTGGATTAGACTTTTTTCAGGCACGAATTGTAACTTTGAAAACCCGACATTATGCATGCATGCCAGCGCATTGTCCCAAATTTTCGATCTCAGCTAAAATCTCGGCTAAAATGCATATAATGAAAGACTAATCAGGCTAAGCCTTTGATCTGATGCGCCATTTACCTCCCCAAGCCGGGATAACTCGCTGCATGTAATCAGGCTTTAACTCAGACAGTTTCGGACTTATACCACTTACGACCTTGGCTAAGACCCAAAGCCTATACGATAATCTTATTATACACATCGAACATTTGGTAACAGATCTGCGTTAATCTAAATAAAATTACAACAGCTACAATTTGGGTTAATTATATAACACCCTAACATACCTTTATAAGCCATTTAGTAGATATGGGTGCGGAAGAAAATGGAGTTAGGAACTCGAAAAAAAAAGAAACGAGTTCGCATTTTGGAAAAAAGGGTGTTTTAGCGAAAGGATCATCCGGGCTATACATGGAAGTCAGATGCCATACTTACCACGTGCCCAAGGACCTGAAAAATTTAACGCGTTCCTGCAATCACGGCTTATGTTTGCTTCATTTTAGGTTATTAGATGCATGAAATTTACAAAATACCTTTGTCTAATTTGAATGGTTTGCTCCAGTATGACCAGAATTGTTTCTGAAATAGAAGTCCATAACATTTTTCTAGTAATAGATAATTGAAGTGCTATGCTCTAATTCTCCTCCAATACGGAAATCTTATCAATATGGTGTCTATGGTTCTATGTGCATGGATACTAGGTTGTAGTCTAGGTTTCTCGACTTACCCCGGAAGTGTCCTTACTCATTTGCGCACATCTATACGTTGACGTTGTACTTAGTTTTAATACATAGAACTCGGCTAGGATTCTTTTTCTCCGTTCGATGGGCTCAGACTTTTGAAGCGAAATCTTTATGGTTTTTAAACCTTGCAATTCACGTATACTGTATTGTTTGGCCACAAAGGCACCATTTTCTCTCGCCCCCTGTGATATTTTTAGAGTTTCCATTGCCGGAGGGTTCTTTGAATCCGGTTGAACTAGGAGTAATACTAATGCGACCGTTCTAAAGGATAAGAAAAAAAAAGCATTCTTTTCACTGATTGTTCAGCAACTGATTCCCAACGTCATCTCTTTGTTAAACTCTCTATTTTTGCACATTTTTGAGAATATATTCGATTCAGAATCTCGGAAAAAGGGTGCTTTAGTTTTAATCAGAAAATTAATTGAATCACTAATTCGTTCAGTTTTCAATCTTAAAATAAAGAATGGAATCTTATGGAATTCAACAGTGTGTACTTTGCTTTTGGAAGAAGGAAAATTACGAAATAAGATATGTCTATGAACACCTAAAGGACAAGCTGCCCCTGCTACCCACGTGGTTCCGGTGCTCTCTCTCTCTGCCGCCAGTGGCGTAGCAAGCCGAAAATCTAGTCGTGCTATGCTAATATTTTTGTGTTCATTGGCTGTAAAAACAATGAATTCTAAAGAAATGAGTAATGATAATAACATATAATTTGCATAGCACAGCAGATTAAATCGTCATGCCAGCTTCGGCACTGACTGCCGCAAGAGTAGTGTTCTTTAATTTGACAAAAACTTACTCGATATCTCTACTCTCTGGCTTTTTCAGTAGTAATGTGTAACTACCATCCGTTTCCTTTTGGAGCAAAATAGGTTCTAAAAGGAGGCAGTTACATTAATCATCATGCCTGGCAAAATGCCATTGAGGTGTTTAAACGAAGTTGACTGGATGAAGCCACAGGGATATTAGGATGATTTTAGTCATTGCCTGGCTTTAGTGGTTAACATTTTAAAGCGATTATTCTAAAATTTAACTTTTTTATATGGTTAAGAAAATATGCAGAAAATTGACTGCAATGATATTTTATATCTTTTACATTTTTATACCTGAATGAGATAACCATAACATTGATGCTGAATCACTTCTCCCGAAATTAGTAGCGACGCTTATTTGGAATGAGTACTCCGTTTCATAGTTAACGTCCACTTCAACTGATCTCATATCGTTCGAGATAATCAATTCTTTTTTAGAGCCTCCTGTTTGTCCGTAGAATGCTTGATACTGCAGGACAGTTTGGTTCACAGGTAAAAATATAGACCAGGATATGGTATACTTTTTCTGAGCAGTGGACATGATAATTATTTCATGCGGAGCTGTAGTTTAAAGAAGAAGAATATCATTAAAAAAATACTAATTTAACATATTTGCATACCTTTTTGCATTCCAGCCTTGTACCTTGGCAAGTACCTCTAGATATGTTTTGTTACGGGATAAACAAGTATACGCGTCTACTTATCGATTATCAAAAAAACAAAGATAGATCTTGCATGCTGACTTTTTTATCAATATATTTAGGTCACGAATATATTTATGTTAATACAACAAAATAACAGAACTAAAAATTGAACCAAGGATTGGGTGGATATTTACCTGAAGGTTGCATCGACGTCTTAACGCTTCTGCTCCATTCTGTCGAGTAAAACGTGCGCTAAATGAATTATTCATGTAAAATTTCTCCCGTTAATCCAAATATACGAAACTTCAAAGTGTTTTATGTGTATACAATTAAAAATTTCAGCACATTAAAAATTTACCTGATTTTTAAAAAACCTTAGAAACACAGAATAACTTGTATTCGGTTTCAAGGCTTGGTTGAAGTATTTCTTTTCATTGAAAGAGTAATTCTTCTTATCGCCGATCACAAACGACGAAGATAGATCACTGACGTTCAAATAGGCTGCGATATAAAGGTTAGCGGTGTCTGCCGAGAAAGACTTGAGATGGTTTGTTTCAATATCTTCGACCGCTGTTTGTTCACCTTTTTCACTTTTCACGACGATCATTACCTCCCTAAATGTATAACATATTGACTGAGTAGAAGGCCCTGGCGAGAACAAGGGTATCATCATGGCTTCACTGACAAAGGACGACTTGCGCTTTAGACTAGTTTCCTACCTCGGCGTTTAAAAGGACAGTTCTAAAAGAGTTTATCATATACTAATGTTCTCTATTTTGTTATTGCTATACCCCTTAACCCCCTTTGAGGACAGCCATATAGAAATAAGTTGTGGAAGCCCTGCGTGTACCATACATATTACTGGAGTAAAAGAGATATTATGCTATTTAAAAGCGGTTAAAGCGGCTTCTGCGCACATGCTCAAAACAATTGAAGGCCATAATTGAATTTAAAATTGTAAAAATTCAGTTCCCACGTTTTTATATTTTTTGAGCATAAATCGAAGCACTTAGAAGCCTATAATATAAACACCCCGTATAAGTGTGTTAATGTTTGGAATAAACGTTTTTAATTTTAAGCATTATGACAGTAAAGTTTGTTTGTACCAAAGAACTATTTTTATTCTACAATAATGTTTGGCTTCTTTTCTTAGTATGATCTGGCAACACTATTGGACAGTACTTTTTAGTCAAAGTCATGACACGTCATGCTGCAGAAGTTCTGGTGCAGGTTTACACAATAAACTAGCCTCATGAGCAACACCTTAAATTTGAAGAAACTTACTTGATATAAGGTCCTGGCGGTTTAAGACCCGTTATCCGTAAACTTGAAGACGAATATCGGACAAGATTAACAGCATCTAAAAAATGAAATTTTAAAAATAAATAGAGATTACTTCATGGTTGGCGAGTGCGTACGATTTTTATGCACGAGTTGTGAGGGATCGCAATACGAACGAGTGAGCGCAGCGAACGAGTGAGTTTGCGATCCTTCGCAACGAGTGCATAATAAAAATCGTACAAACGAGCCAACCATGAACTAATTTGTTTATTAAATGTCTGTAGAGATCAATTTGACAACGGCACGCTTTTAATATACAAAAACAAAGCGAGCAGCAAACTCGAAACTTTATCCATGCATCAAAACATATTTATTACCGTTCAGTTTCTTTGTAATTTTGTTCAATAGAAGTTAGATATTCTTTCCGAAAGATTTGAGAATGTGCTGAATGTAAAAATATCTTGAATATGAGGATTATGTTTTGAATTTCACTCCTATATTTCGACTATATAAATCTCTATACACATATAATAAAAAATAAATCTCGATAGCTTTCGTCGTCTTTGATTATTTTATGCAAACTGTAACGTTATTTGCATAGGTGCCCTGTGCAACTAAATATGTATGCATAATGGGTAATGTAACAGGAGTATAAAATAGGCTTATTGAAATAAACTGACCCTCTTCTTCTGTAATTGTGCTCAATCATACACGAGCTTCTCTGCATTACTATGACATTGTGTCAGGTGTGAAGAACCTTTAGCTTCTCCATTAAGTGAGACATCAAGAAGCTAAAGTATTAAAGCTGACAAAGCGAATAATCTCTAAAAAAGATCGAGTCCTTAAGTGTACCAATATGGCGACACGAAGACAGCAAGGACAAAAAGAACGATAAGAAAATGAAAGCCCAACAGGTTCATCAACCCAGCAGATCTTCAGATCCAATGTTCCGCTCCCAAAGCCAATACGTCTAACAGGCAATTTAACAAAAAATTGGAAGAACTGGCGCTAGACTTGGCAAGCATATGAAGTAATCACAAACCTAGTCGAACGCGACCGAAAATATCGAGTTGCTAAATTTATCACGTGCATTGATCCTGGAGCCATGGAACTTCATAAAGTTTTAGTGTTTACCTTTCCGAACAGATGAGGAGAGAGGAGATATTACGAAAATAATAGAAATATGGAACAATTACTGCATAGGTATGACAAATCCCATTTATGAGCGGTGTAAATTCCACAACAGATTTCAAGGAGGCACAATCGACACATATGCGACAGTCATTCGTACTTTAGCCGACACATTTACTCAAACGTAAGAACATTTTCCGGGACTTAACTTCGTACTTTGTTTAAAGGCCTCCACAAAAAAGGTATGCCATGGGCGTGGCTAGGGCTTAATACGAAAATAGCTTAACTAGAGCGGCTTCATCACGAAAGGCTTAACTCAAAAAGAGCTTATCTCTAGGGCTTAATCACGAATGGCTTAATCACGAAGGGCTTAATCACGAAGGGCTTAACTCGAACATTATCGACCTCGTGCTCCACACTCTCCCCACCCCCGACCATATTTTGACTCAATGTCTTTATTATAAAGTGTGATTTTGATTTTCATGAGAGCTTAAAAACAACACTGTCCAACGAATGGAAAAGCTAGCATCTTAAACAATATTACTGTTTGGCGTCCTAGAGGGCATTATATTACTTTGTTATACAGGGTGTATCAAAAAAATGTCCCAAATGTAAAATTTCCGTTTTTCTGGATATTTTGCAGAATTTGGCAATTTTTTGTGTTCCTAGAGATAGTTAAGACTTATCTGGTATACCTAGGCCAAGTTTGGTTTTTTATTAACAAAGTGAAGCTGAAATTGAGATATTATTTAGCTGTCTAAAAGTAGGAAAGCTTTTTAATAAACTGTCAAAGTTTCAGGAAAAATAATGCAAACTGGGAGCAACGCGCGACCCCTAAAAGTGACAAATATTTCATTGCGCGCAGTGAATTAAATGCATGGTTGATTTTAGCGTGACCGATCTCATGCAAGGCTGGGCAAATGAATAAATTAAAGCGAGAAACTGAACAAGAAGACAAAGTGATTTGATAACAAGATTTTTATTCTTGATGTCAATCCTCAACATTTCTACCATTTCTTTCTAAGCAAACTGCGGCTCGTCTGAGCATAGTAAACACTGAACGGCGAACCACATTTGTCTGGCCTGCCTCAAATTATCCAATTCGTTCGAAATTCTTTTTTGCAAATCGCCTACGCTACCACCGGCAAATCTAGGCGAATAGACAGACAAATGGTTCGCTGTTCAGCGTTTAGTATGCTCAGACAATCCGCAGTTTGCTTAGAATGAAATAGTGGACATGCTGAGGATTAACAACACGAATGAATCGCTTTGTTTTTGTGTTCAGTTCATTTGCCCACCTTGAGATCGGTCACGCTAAAATCAACGATGCATTTAATCCACTGCGCGCAATGAAATATTTGTCACATTTAGGGGTCGCGCGTTGCTCCCAGTATGCATTATTTTTCCTGAAACTTTGACAGTTTATTAAAAAGCTTTCTTACTTTTAGACAGCTAAATAATATTTCAATTTCAGCTTCACATTTTCGCGCGCAAGCCCTCTCAATATCAGTGGAAAGGAACCAACCCCCCCCGGTAACATAATTTTGTTAATAAAAAACCAAACTTGGCCTAGGTATACCAGATAAGTCTTAACCATATCTAGGAACACAAAAATTTGCCAAATACTGCACAATATCCTGAAAAACGGAATTTTTACATCAGGGACATTTTTTTGATACACCCTGTATAGGTTGGCTGTATAAATGTCATTAGTTCATTCGTAGTCACATGACGTAATTCAAATTCAATGTTTCCCGCCAGGGAAACAAGTGAAAAATTGTTGCCCGCATATTGTCATAATAAGTGTTTTTTTGTTATGTAACATGTATGTTTTTGTCCTATATAACAAAGCCTATAATGTAAACTACCTCGGGAAATTGTTAGTTTTGTTTTCCCTCGACGTCTTGAGGAACATTCAGACTCATGGGAAAACAAAACTCACTCTTTCCCTCGGGAGCATACATTAAGTGTATACTGATTTGCTAAACGTTTATGCTATGACGAATATATATACACTACCTCCGCTCGAAATTGCGCTAATTATCTTGCTCTCTGGTCCGAAACCAGCTTCGGTTCCAGCTGCGACCGTAATAAAGTACATAGTAGCGGATTGAAGTTGAAAGATTGTATAAGGCGATGATCGTATCGATCTATTGATGCATTTGGGACCTGGATAGTTAGCAGCACCAGATGTTTTAGAATAGCAGACTTTATATCCTGTTATTCTGCCGTTTCGTAGGTTCTCAACTGGAGCCTCCCAGGACAATTCAAATGAGTGTTTTCTGCGCGATGTTAATTTAACACGCAATGGTGGTCCACCGGGAGCTGAAAGAGAAAAAATTACATCGGGAATAATTAGCCAGGCTTAAGATTTTGTCTTATAAAATACTTCGTTAATTTCACTGCACACAAAATAACAAAATATGAACCCTAATCTACTGTAAAATGGTCACTAAAGTAAAAAATTGTAATTTCGGTTGTGCTTTTTTTGTTTCACTGTTCAATACTGCCAATGTGGTTATTTTTGCTCGTACGATTATTGCGATTAGCATTTATTAAGGAATTTCGGGTACAAATCCTAGAAATGAGAAGTACAGCAGATGCGATTTGGATTATTTTTCAAAATATCAAATATTTTATAACTTTTTTGCACACTGTACAAACGTGTGGTCTGGAACAAGTTGTACCCCCCCACACACACATTCTAACGTGCCCATGTTAGAAAGGACAGAAACAAATATATCTTTTAATTTAATTTTTGATGAAATTGTAGTTGGTTTGTTCTGGTTGCTTATTAACCTGCATTACGTGCACGTGGACCTGCAGCGAGGTGTTTTCTTTCGTTTTTTAAAACCACACCAAACGAACAGTCGCACTTAGAGAATAGATTTGGAGAATCTTTTTCTTTCTAACTTCAATCAATTTTGGTTGTTTTCTAGCAATAATGGTATTTTAAAATTTTACGAGATGTACTCCCAATCCCTTGACGAATATTGGTACAATAGCCTTTTTAATTTTTTGAAAGTCTCTGAATACGAGGTTCTTGGTACTATCAATGTTGACTCGGTACTCGTACAGGACTCATTTAATTATTAGGAAAGTATTGGATCGTTTTAGAACAAGGGTGACTGCATCTATGATATAAATACCTGCTTGTTTCGTCCTGATCCTTCTATGAATCCTGCTGCTCCTTTCAGAAGAACCATCTTCAGTCTCAAATTCAATATCATAATCAGTGTTTGGCGTGAGTCCAGTAATAACGAAGTAACGTGCACTATGAAATTGTTTTTCCCGTGTTACACTTTGATTTTTTTTGCCGTCAAGATATGCATTGATCCTTGTGATATAACTAGAGGCTGATTCTGATGTTTCTATACTGAATGTTACTCTTACTGAATTTTTGTTCTCTTTAGTTCCAACAATTTTTACGGGTGCTGGCCTTTGAGCTAGAAAAGCAACAGAAACGAAGGGTAAGGTTTGCATCTGATATATTTAAGAATTACTCGCCAAAGATATAGTAGCCGTATATAATAACCTTACCTTTTCCACAGAGTTCTATTCTTAGACAAAAATCTGTTTTACTTATCGATTCGATCTTTATATGTCTCACGTTGTAAATGTCAAGATTCGTAATTGACGCTTGAAAACCGTTGGTGTTTCCTGCCATCTAAAATTCAATTAAAAGTAGCTTATTTTAGAATTTTAGTATAAAATTCAAGTGGAAATGGAAACTTTTCCGTCCATGCACACATTTTCTCTATCTGGTGCCGCAACGTCAATCATATTCTTTCACCATTTTTTGTTTTGTTTTGCCAAGTTGTTCCACTTGAATGTAGTCTTTTATTAACCACAAATCGTGTTTTATTAAACGATATGACTCCTTTTACTGCCATTTTTAACTCAGTAGAAAGTCAATTGATTGCTCCGCGAATATGCCATCATAGGATTCATAGCATTATAGCAATAATTTTGCATGTTTCATATGTACTTTCCAAACAAAAAGAACCATGTATATTTGAAAAATTAATTGAAATTAGTGAAATGTCGAAATGCTGATGATCCCAACGAAATAAAAACTTACAATTGGAACGTTTACTTTTTTATTACCTGCTAGCTTAACCGGCTAACTAACAATGGATTATTCGTATTTTGCTAATGCGCGTAACTAAGAAAACTTCTTGGCACTTTCATCCCTCTGGCATAAATGAAAGACTCCTTCACCATGCAGCTATTCACCCAGACTACTTCACCCTGAGTAATATGACTATCATTTCTTTTTTACATCAAAGCTGGTTGTAATACGTTTTCATTGCAGATCAGGCTTCCATCATTGCGGGCTATTCTTTGCCAAAAATCAGACACCTCTTTGGCAATGTGATGTATTCCAATTTAGTTTGATTTTTTGTTTTCTATTGGCCCATTTTTATCACGTGTTCTGCCCCGTACAAAGCATATATTCTCCCCTATTTATTTTCATACTAACTCCTCTGACGAAGGCCCACAGCCACAGGTCGAAACGTCGAGAAGTGTTTCGTCTATTTTAGGCAGTTGTTATACCACATTTGATGCTAAGTTGTTTGAAGACGCTGCCACGCTGCTCTCTTGTTATATTGGGTCTGTCGATATACTATTTTGACGGCTTTGGATTCAGAATTCAGAATGCTTTGTTCCGTCACAATACCCAGGTGTAGTTAACATCCTGATGGATTTAGTACCCTCGCTTCACAGGGGGTTGGGGATCATATACCATATCGCTCTACGGTGAATTACATAAAGCATGCATATTTTTTCGATGGCGTGTAAATACCTGTTTTCTTTTCTCAAATCTGTTGTCGTGGCTGTACGCCATTGTATATTTACTAATCCATTTAGTTTGGTCTCTATTTCCCATGGTGACAACTCGGGTTATGTGATATTCTTTCTGAAGATCAATCAAAAGATATTTTCGTCCGTCGTTACACCAACCAGTTCTGTCAAATCTTGCGTTCATAAAAGAATGCGAACCACTTCCGGAGACAAAAGAATCAGAAAAAGTTGCTTGGTTTTGGAGTAATTCGGGTTTATTGCACATTTTACCTAGGAGAGTAAAGGAGACCAAAAATTAAAAGACAAAATGACAAAATTTGAATTCAGTTTACAGGGTAGTTCTTTTACATTATACAGGAGAATTATATCAGTTATGCTAAACATGGTTGTGTACACCCATAGCGGGTACGGTATATCGTCTTATGTATAATTATTATCCTAAGGCTGGCAACTCTTTGACAAGAAATATAATGCATACATTAATACCATTGCTCGAAACACAAAAATTTGCTACTTTCTTGAAAAAAAAACTAGATACAAAACACCTTGGATATATTTACTAAATTTATCTGTCATTTTCACGAAGAGATTTTTTCTTCATTGAGTTGGTCTTTTATTTTCCGTTATTTTCCGAACTTTCAACAGATAATCAAAATTTTCCGGATGAAGTTTGCCGAGTAAATTGCATCCCGCCTCTGTTTGACAATATTTCCATAAGAATATACTTTTTATTTGCAAAATTTAAGCATTTTAATTACGTTGTTCCCAAGTCTAAAAATGACAGATAAATTTAGTAAATATGTCCAAGGTGTTTGTATCTAAAAAAAAACTAGGGTAAATTTTGTGTTTCAAGCGATGGTATTAATGTATTATATGCAGTGGCGTAGCCAGCCTGACGATTTTGTCCCGCTATGTAAATTTATAGTTATTACAATTATTCATGTCTTTAGAAATCTATTGTTTTCACAGTCAGTGAACACCAAAATATTAGCATAGCGCAACAAATCGACAGGCTGGCTGCGTTAATGTGTATATGCATTGTATAATTTGTATTTTTTGTCAGAGAGTTGCCAGCCTTAGGATAATTATATGGATAAGATAGACTAAGTATGCGGTATCCGCATTGACCGGCCAGCCTATGGTACACCATATGTATTTTAATGTTTGCTCTGCAGCTATTTTCGCTGAAAACATTCGGCGAACGTTTTTGGTGGACAAGTCGTCTAAATGAGTTTAGTGTTATCACAGTTAATAGAATATATATGATTTTATGCAAAAAATTGTCCCTTCTTATCACATGTCTATTGTATTTTGCACAGATAAACCAATAACAATCTTATAATTAACAAATTGTTTAAGTCAAAGTTGAGGAGCTTACCGAGACGAATGCCCTTGGTAAATTTGGCTAAAATAAAATAGACACGTTACGAGAATGGGACCATTTTTTTGAATAAACGTGGACAATAACATAGTCAATGAGTTTTATTGTACTCTTAATAATTTTAGTCTCCAAGCCATGCATGTATATTCTATTAACTGTGGTGTTATTTCTGACTGTGACATAATTTTTAGTTGATGTTCGCGGAGAAAATGTACGCATCTTAACGTACTCACATTTAACATATGGTACAGAAACAGTTGACCTTGTTGTTGAAGGAACAAGATGAGCACAGCATGATGTTCCTTTTGACTGTCTGCTGTAACATATCAAGTCCCCTGATGCAATCTTAACACTTTCGCGCATTCTCAGTGTTCTTCTCCTAATAATATTGTTGGCAGTTTCATCAAACCCCATGTGCTGACACAGCATTTTTTGACGTTTTTTATCCCAATTATTTTCTATAACATATCTCCAACCGAAACCATCTTTTATTTGAAGGTGTCCTCTCTTTGGTGACTCCTTCAACCGTATGTTACGCACTAGAACAGAAATTTTATCTAAAATTCAACGTGTGTATTTGTCAACAGTGTCACTTCCGCCTTCGATTTTGGTGCAAACACCCTCAAATCTTTGGCTACACGGGATTCATTATTGGTATACGATACACGCAATAGTGATAAAATATCGTGTGGTATAGCTAAGTGTGCAAACGAATTACCAAAAATTAATTATAATTATAGTATTTGCCCAAATATACTCCAACTCCACTAGCGATATTCTTCGCGCGAAGCGACTTTATTTCTTTGTATTTGAGCAATTTGTTCCAAATGGTTGCAGTTAAGAGCTCTGAAACAAAAGTAAAATATCGCTTCGCGCGAAAAATATCGCTAGTGGAAAACTGGCTTAAAGCCGGTTTTCCACAAGCGATATTTTTCGCGCGAAGCGACTTTATTATTTGTATTTGAGCAATTTGTTCCAGATGGTTGCAGTTGAGAGCTCTTAGACAAAAGTAAAATGTCGCTTGACGCGAAAAATATCGCTAGTGGAAAACTGGCTTAACTCTAGCAGGCATGCAGGCTATTGTTGAAGTATATTGGCTACTTCATTTACCTTTTGTTATTGTGGCAATATATTTATCCACACAGGTGTATTCGGTATAAAGTTGTTTTGTACGACTAGAACAAAGGGATGTTGGCAGTAAACTGTTGTCAATGGTCAGGTCACAAGACTTGTTCTTAATTCCACCACAAATAGATTTAACCATACAACTTGCTACAGCACTACACTCGGCATCACTGCTCGTAGCGGCATCAAACTTGCCATTTTTATTTAAGTCTCCATAATGAGCATTCTTGACCAACATATGTTGTATTGGAGAACAATGAACATTTTTCATTTTATTACCGTGCCTTGTCACTGAACCTGAAAGAAACGCTTACATTGAACTTCTGTTGCGGATATATGTGTTGGAACGAAGAAGCTGTCAATCCAAAGAGCAAAGAGGCCATGCTGTTTTAAATAAGTGTTTTCGCGAAATTCTATTTACGAACTCGATCGTTCCCCGCGTAACAAATATTCTGGCCTCTGGGATAATCCAAACTGGAAGCCAGAAATCCTGGCTTCTGGTTTGTATTGGGTTTGTAATGCATTACAACATTCTAACGGCGTGAACGACTGATGAAAATCATTTCTGATTTCGATTATCCCAAGAGCCTCTGTTCCCAGCTAGAGGAAATCGCAGGCCCGATGAACGAGATCGATTGTTAGACGAGTTAGTTACCATTTGTCGTAAAATGTCCCGGCGGCATTTGCGCTCGTAGCTCTTGAATCTATCAAGTAAATTAACTTGAACCACCAAATTCAACTATAAATTTCCTACCAATAGTGTTCAATTTTAACGCAATTTTAATGCAAAATTTCAACTGTGTTTTGAACCAGATTCACTTAGTTTGAATCTGTGTTTTCCCAATCAAAACAATCCATGCACCGGCCTACTTGTTTAAAGAAACTATAAAAGAGCTTCAGATTGACAGATATTCTGACAGATATTCTTCCAAAAACGCCCAACGTCAGAGGAAGTCCATTTTAGAATATATTAATTCCGAAAGTTTATGAAATATATTTCGAGCACTCCGGAGACCGAAAGGTAGCACTTTGTCGTAGTAATATTTACCATTCCAGTACATATACCTAGAAGTTCATGCATGATCTTTCGAGTGTACAGGGTTTAGTCGAAAAGCTGAAAGTCGAAAATCTTAAATCCTCGTTTAAAATAGACGCATTTGCGCTTGTTTGGTCGGACTTTGCATGGAGTAGAAAGGTGGAAAATTTTTCAAAATTTTTTTGAATGTTTCTTCGGTACAAGGCCGATTGGGGAGACTTAGAAATTTTGGACCAAGAGATATCTCATGTGCCAAATTAGCCGAAACAATGTCTGGATGAGCCAGATCGGTGGGTACGTTTTTGGAGAACTTAGGCATGCGTTGCCCTTGAAACCCTATCCGAACTCCCGACCTTAAATGATTACATAATCATTACATACTTGACACGAAACGTGCGTCAGGATATCCTGCTAATGATAATTCTGAATTGGAAACAGCAATAAAAGGAGTTGGTGTTACTGTTGATACTTCATGCAGCACCAAGTTTATTACTTCGGCGTGAACGACGGAGTTGAAAATTTGCCTAGTTTTTATTTGGTTTTTGTTTTTGTTTATTATTTTTCATCGTCGCAAGTGTGTTTTAGCGCGAAATATACTTAGTGTATGCTTAGTGGTCCCGATGATTTGTTATCCTTAGCAAATTTATTGCAGATTTCGACTCTTCTCTTAAAAAGCTCTTCAAGGCCAAATCTTTTAAGCGAATCCTCATATGAGATTCCAGGGTTTATTATTCTCATTGCTCTCTTTTGCAGCGTTTCGACTTTATTACTTAAATACTCCGGGATAGCCGCCCACACGGGGACAGCGTATTCAAGGATCGCTCTGATTACACTACGGTATACTGCTACAAGTTCTGAATGGCCAACTTTTGTCTTTCGTAACATACGCAAGATGTAGAGTCTTTTATTCGCTTTATTGACGATGTAGTCAATATGAGTGTTCCATGACAGATCGCAACTAAGGAAAACTCCTAATAGTTTATGTGACGTTACTCTCTCGATCTGTTGTTCGCCAATCCTCATAAAGCATCCTCATAATTATGGTAGTCTATACTGAAGAAAATCAATCACCATTTCCTTGCACTTTCTTGAGTTCAGCTGCATGCCCCTTGTTTCAGCATATAGTTGGACATCGTTGACCAAAAGCGGTGTTAGACTGGGCGAGCACCTCGGAATAATTTCGATTGTCGCCAAGTTATCGACAAACTTGACCCTTATGGGTTCCAGTCCCGAACTAACCGATTTATCAAAACCGCAAATAATATATTGTGCCCAATTTAGTGCCTTGTGGTATACCGCCATTTACATTTTTGAAAGGGGAGTATGTATCATGAACACCTACACATTGTTTCCTTCCATTAAGGAATGCATGTATCCATCTAACAATAGAGGGGCGTACCGTATTTTATCAATTCGTCGATATGGACGTTGTGATTCACCAAGTCGATGTCTTTACTGAAGTCAGCGAAGAATTAGGCACGTACGAAACACCACCTCGATCAAGTGCCTCCAAAATATTGTGTAGTACGAGAACCAATGCCTGTGTTGTTGATCGGCCCTTTATTGCAAATTGACATGGATCAATCCTGTCGCTGATATCTTCAAGTAGGGGTTCCAGAAAAAAGCCCTCCATTATTACTTAAATTGCAATTTGTGGAGTTAACGATATGGGACGAAGGTCCTGTTCTATGTTCTTAGGTGGAATAGGTTTAGGTATCGGAGATACAATTAATGACTTGAGAAGCTCTGGGATTGTTCCTTCCTGCAGAGTGTTATTATAGATTTCTGCCAATACCGGATATAGTTCCAACGCAAAATCGCGAAGTACTCTATTAGGGATCACGTCTGGGATGGGCGCTTTATGAGATTTAATTTTCTTCAAAGCATGGAACATTTCATAATCATTAATGAGCAACTCTGGTGGAATTTCGTCTAGATGATTACTGGTGTTCGGATCTTGTGGTTGGTATTCTGCGGACAGGTTAACAAAGTAATTGTTAATATTTTCCGCAAGTTCATCCAGTGATGAAACATTGTCGACCAAAAGTTACTCCGGCCATTTCACTTGACTCACGTTGCCTCCCAATTTCTTAACTTCTTTCCACCATTTAGAAGCATCACTACCACGATGTAGATTTTGGACCTTATCCTTACAGTAGGTTTCTTTACATCTTTTCACTTCTACTTGGACCTTGTTACGACACATTTTAAACGTGTGCGATTGTTTTCCATACTTTGCCAATGATGATTGTTTTTGTAAGATAAATTATTTTAACATGTTCGTTAGCCATGGTTTATCACAAGGAGTTATTTTCTGTTTTCTTAAAGGCAAATATCTATTTTATAGCTTCCATTATTGTATCATAAAAAATGTCAAATTTACTATTACAATCTACTTGTTGTGAAACATCGTCCCATGATTTATTACATATCCATCTACCAAAATCTCGTATATTGCTATCCTTCATTTCTCTTTTATAGATTGGGCTGTGTCGATTTGTGTCTTACATTTGCAATAAGGATTGTAGGAAAGTTATTATTTTGTGGCTTGGTAGCTTCATGCTGAGCGCGAGGAGCAGGTGTAGGGCATATTACTGTTAGGTTATGTGGGTTTCCAGCCCGTTGGGTAAATTTTACTTTGACGCGGACCTGGCGATTAGATACAATTTCTATTTTAGTTTGACTGTTTGTTTCAGGGATATTCAGGTCATCGGCGGCATTGACAGATGGCCAGTCATTTAATGAAACTTCCCAGATTTGTCCCGATACGGGAAGGGGAGTCTCCCAAAAAACTACGAGGATTCATTTGTAGGTCGATGGATTGACTCGAACGATTCTGTCACACCGGGCTCATCAGGAAGTTCCGGATGGACGTTTGATTTTCGGGTAGCGCTAACACACTTTTTGGGATTAGAAACGTCAGACTTAGTAGGTGAATTTATTAAATCAATGAGTGGTAACCTGTCGATCTTTAACGATATCTGTGTTGTATGTTTGCGAAGTTGGTTTTTCTCGGAGACTTCATCCAGATTATTATGGTCACCTTTAGCAGTGTTCTTGCTTAGCTTCAGAATTGATATCGTATTGCTACGAGGAGATAGCTTCATGTTAGGCGTATAGTGTTTAGTTCTGTGCTAAAATTTAAGTTCTTACGTTTTAAATGATCGACTTCGACTGAGCTATTACGAGAGGTTAAAACTGGTTGGTTCTGCTGGTTTAGGCTTAAGTAATTCATTTTGACGGGATCACCGGGTTATTTTGGGCATGGGTAATTTTAACTGTGGTGAGATTTTGCTTTTATTTGGCTTAACGGATTTGGCTGAATAGATTTATTGCCTTTATAGGGGCCACGTCCATATTCAAGTTGCCACGCAAAGCGTCAAATTGACGTTTGGGTGGGTGGATTAGGACTATAGTCTTGTGACGTTTTCACCGTGGCAATATGAATATTTTGCAAAATTACACGCTGAATAATGTATTTTAATATAAAAATTGCCAATATTTCCTTCAAAATGCGATTTAGTACCAGGATATAAAGTTAATATATTTACACCATTTTGTCAATGTTCTATATCAAAAACGAGCTTACTTGGTGGAACTCTTGTCTTTCTTGTTTTCTACATATTTTAAAAACCCAATGGATAAGGTATAAATTTTGTTTCACAGGCGATATTTCGCCATTTATTAATTATGTTATTTGTTTTGTAAACACGTCAAAAGTCAAAACCAAATTAGGCACGTGCGCGAAAATTTTTCCTGAGCCCGCGATGACGTTTTTTTTTTGCTTGTTGCTTTGCCTTTTTGGAATTTTTGCAAATTGTGCAAAGTGTTTTGTGTGGAAGAAGGCATTGTAAATTAGTAATAATTTTTATTCAAAAAGAAGAATTCAATCAAAAGGTAATATTTATATTTCTGTACTGTCTTGATAGTGTATATAAAGTTTTTGCATATCAGTTAAAATTCTAGCTAAAAAAATTATTGCATGCATTTTTATTTCATTGTATATAGACATGTCAAAGCAACTAACACTTTTTGGACAGGGCAGTCCCTGCTTCCTACTTTACGAATCCAAAAAGTGATTATGAATGGTTTGTTAATACGAAATGGAGCGAGTAAAGTGAAAGGTTTGGCAGAAAGCAGAACTTTCTTTAATTTGTCCTCGTTGAGTGGGAAAAAATAAAAAACGACAGGGAGAGACTTGTAAAAAACCTTGAAAATGAACAACATCTCCTTCTAAAAAGGTTCACCGACCGAGTTTTTTCAGCCTCCAACAGTTACTTCCATGTAAAGACCTATCAACTCTTTGCTTTCAAAACCGGCTATTGTTTCCAGAAAAAAATACAACACCGCTTCCTAGAATGAACATAGCAGAAATATTAAATGTACCCACATTATCTCGTGAAAGTTACCTATTGTCCCAAGGATTTCAGATGATAAAAGCATTTCTTTCTGATATCGCATTCAAAAGACTTGACGATTTCTTTACTGACGATATAATCAGTGATGATTCACTAGTGAAAACGTTAGCTTCCATCTCATTTGATTGGAAAACTTTCTCCTCACTCCGTAAAAGTTATCTAAATCAGTCTAAGTATAAATGGAACTCAAATATAAAGTCTAACTTGCGCGAAATCAATATTAAATGCAATGAACTTGCTATGATCTTTGGCGAAGTATGTAAACTGCGCACAAATCCTACCATGAGGGCTGTCCTCATCAGTGAAACGTATACCTTAAAAAAGCTTAGAAAATCAAAGAATTGATTTGTACGATATAGGGATCATACAAACGAAATTAAATTAATAACAAAGATTTTTCGTCTAACCTTCGTTGAAGACTAAAGCAACAAACAACTCTACATCGCGTAAGTCTGGCGAACTTCATATATAAGTGCATTTGCTACAACAACTCTAAGCTATCGTGGGAAGACACGTTCGATATCTTCTTGGACCATGAAAATTCCAACCTTGCACTTCATGGACCACTAACAACAACGAAGTTGACCGAGATTGGGCAAATAATATCTGAAAATATTGTCACAACTGTATCTGAAATTGAAATTGTCATGAACGATGACTGTCTGCACCAAATTTTAAGGCACATGCCAGTCATGTTTCTAAAGACTGAAAAGTCTGGTGTCTTTTTGAACCTATAAGAATTCGTTTACACCTCTAGTGCGATTGAAGCTTTGCTGGAATGCTCCTCGGCAGTGAGTGGTGATGATGATCTATAGATAAAATGCCTCCTAAAAAATCAGATATTGCCCCAACTGAAAACCCAAATGAAGATAAATTAGTGCAGAATCCGTCGTCTAAATCCTGTGGACAACCATCTTTAGTCTCTAGGTTTCCCGATTTGGTCGATGCAGCTTCCGAGTTTGTGAAACAACATGCACGGATTTTCCGCTCAATGCCGGAGAAGAACCGAAACTAGGTACTCCTAGGCACGTTATTTAAATCAGATGCATGTATAGTAAGCATTGATGACATGGGGAAAATAAAAGTTGGTGCCCCCGCTGTTTCTCGGTATCACCAATAGACCTTTCTTATAATGACGTGAAACGCGGAAAGTCTGATGTTACACGAAATTTGATTGTCTCCACAAAACTATCCAGCTAATCAAACTTTGTGTAACATCAGACTTTCCGCGTTTGACGTCATTATGAAAAAGGTCTATTGCGGCAGCTATGCCTGTGCCAAATTACTTGTTATCTGCTTCAGGTGAGTAGTAGTTTAATTGTCTAGCGTAACAGCCTTATAAGCATCTTGGAGACGCATAAAGTTATAAACGCATAAAATTATGCATTAAACTAAATTACATGAAGCTGCACGCCAAAAAATAATATTGTGGGTAAATGTAGAGCTCTTTCTTGTGAAAAGAAGGCACTGAAGATTACGAATAGGGCTTAATCTTCTTTAGGATACATGTTCCTCGAAGAAAGGAATGTGGCAGGGCCGATTTTGGAGGAGAATGTCAAGGTAGATAAACATTTTCAACACAAAACGTACGATAAAACATCTAAA